AACACTGGCGTGGCGACTTCAAAGAGTTACTTTGATCGTCTCTTTACTGCGGAAAAAGAGCCTGCAGTAAAGGAAAAGGCAGATTTCTACGGTGATATCTGGCACCATAAAGCTCTGTTGTGATCTTTTTTCAAATATAGTGACCTGTTTAATAACCAGTTAAAGGACTTGCCATCCAGACTGTTTGATCAGTTTCAAGAATTAACAAGTCTGTAACTGCAGACCACCATATATATCCCTCAGTATCTTAAGTTGCTGCCCCATGAATTTTCCATGGGCTTGGATTTCTATCTTTTTTTCAATCTTTCCTCAATTGTATCACTCTCTGTGATGGTTTTAAGCATTTATCTCCACTATGGCCTATCTTTTTTTCGGAATACAACACTATAGACGATGAACAGTCCCTCCTTTGCGACAAAGTTTGTCGCGCGAGTCCAAAAAAAATCGGTGATAGAAAAATTGAGGTAAGCGCGCCATGGGGAGCTCTGAGAGTGAGGAGCTCGGAAAGAAAGGACTACAGACTGAGCTTAAGAATTTGACCTTGCGCAGCTCAAAAGTCGAGGTCGAGTTTCAATAACAAAAACTCCCAGGAAGACAATTAGGAAGGGCGGGCCAGGAAAGGAACCATCGCGGTAAGGATCTCGGAGTAATTTAAAAATTACATGTCTTACGCTCGACTTATGACCGGCAGTCGGAAACGTTGTAATATTTGACGAGCAGGTGGTAGACAAGGCTCTGTTTTAGAGCCTGTTTGCAAAGTTGCTAGAAAGTCCTTTCCAGTGATAGGAGCTTCAAGCTACAGTCTGCTCTGGTTTCTATGAACGAATTTTCGGAAACCACATTCAACATTATTTAAGTAATCAGCCATGATTAATCTGGAGCGTTGACAAGCTTTGACACTCAAAACCGCTTGATGAGAGATGTCCAGGCGATTGCCAATCATATTTATTTGCTGTTGTGAGCGCGAAGCAAAAGGCAATCTCTTTCCCTTAGGCTGTAGTTTCTTCTTTCCGAGTGCCAAACTTCGCCAAAAAGGAAGGACTGCTCGCAGTCTACAGTTTACAATACTTTCATAATCAGCATACCTTAACCTCTAACTGATTATCAGTGAGTTAATATGATTCACAAAACTCCCTTATTTTTTCTTTTGTAGTGACATGTCCTATAACCAACTAGAGGAATTACCTCCAGAAGCTTTCAGTCACAATCCCCATCTTATAGAGCTGTAAGTAACAATTCCTTGCTGTGTAAGTGACATTTGATAGCAGCTGTGCCTAGGTTCAATAGTTTGATAACTTTCCAGTCGTCGATTTAGTAAATAAACCCCTTCGGGTGGCTGGTATGCCGGCTGAGAGATTGTCCGAGAAATGAATATTTGGCCAAGAGGCGAAGCTTCGAGGGCAAAGATGAAATTTTGAAGACAATCTCTCAGCCAAAGACATTATCAGCCGACATACCAGCAAGCCAGAACGGGGATTATTTATTTTATAACCCTCCCATTAATTTTCACATCGCAATTAAACTGCGCGTAAACACA